GCCGGTGCATTTTTGCTCCATTTGTAGACTGGATATAGTTTCGTCGCCCAGCTTCTGAGTTAAATGCATGGCGTGACACTGTGAGCTGCGGATTGCATTTGGGATGTTTTTTCGACTGGGACCATCGTGGTGGTGTGAATTGTAGATTCAGAAAATGGGGCGATGCCTGTAGTCATGCAATGTTGGTGGTGCCCGTATGTGATGAAAATTGATTTCGTGGGCATCTGCTGATCTGTTGGCGACTTCCACTATCATCAGTGATGAACTGCATTTCTAATGTTAGACTGCTTGAGTTAGCACTTCGGATGGCTACCGTATGTTTTAATGCTAGTGTATGCTAGATATGCTGAGACAGCAGTCTGTCAATCTTTCCACAAAGGACTGTGATAAACATTATGTGTGTTTTTCGTTGGCACAGGAGCGGAGCAAAGATGGGGTGACCCGTTTGCTATGACGCTGAAAACTAATACTACCAGACCAGACTACTAGATAATAACATCCGGAATCCTTTCTTGTGTCATATCGTACAGGGTTGTGGGTCAAAATGGACGCTAGGCACAGTAACTGTTGTGAGCGTGACAAATTATTTTGCTTCTGCCAGACGGTGGCCGGTGCTTTTTTTGCTCCATTTGAAGACTGAAAGGATGGTTTCGATGCCCAGCTTCTGAGTTGAGTGCGTGGCGTGACACTGTGAGCTGCTGATTTCATTTGGAATGTTTTTATACTGTGACCAACGTGGTGGTGTGAATTGTAGACTCATAAAATGGCGCTACGCCTGTTGTCGAAATTTTAGTGGTGCCATTATGTGATTAAAACTGATCTCGTGTGCACCTGATGATCTGTTAGTGACCTCTGCTACCATCATTCATTAACTGCATTTCTAATGTCGGACTATTTGTGTTAGCACTTCGGATGGTTACCGTATGCTTTATTTGCGTGTGTATGCTAGTACATATGCTGAGACAGCAGTATGTCAATCTTTCCACAAGGGACTGTGATAAACATTACGTGTGTTTTTCGTTGGCACAGGAGCGGAGCAACTATGGGGTGACCCGTTTGCTATGAAGGTGAAACTAAGATTACCAGATTTCCAGATTACCAGGGTCACTAGTTTTTGTTGACAGCCAGCGTTCCAAAGTGCTCTGATGCTGGCGACCAGTGGTCACTTTTCTAAAAATTGCCAAAATGTTATCACTGGACACAGCTCTTAACTAGAGCTGTTTTAGTGTGCCACAGGCGAAAACTGTTTGAGATGACAAACGGAGACGGGACGAGTTGCGCAGGTGGCGCGTGTTAGGCGTTCGGGTACCGATAAGGCGCTCATGTTCCGAGGCAAAAATTACTTTGAATTTTTAAGTGTTCGAATTTCGAGGCACAAATATTTTAATTATTTATTTATTTATTTATTTAATTTTTCCTACTGTTAAACGGTTTTCTGGGGGTTGCTGCTGTTGAAATGGCATCCGAAAAATGGCTCATTGAATCACTAGCTGCCTTTTTTTTTCAGACTGCAATCCCAGATGAAATCAGATTTACACATTTTGTAAGCATTAAAATAGTTTTCTTAGTCCCACTAACGAACCGTTATATTAACTAATAAACACAACACTGGACAGATTTAAAAAAAAAATGATTAAAAATTTATCGATCTAGATAACCTTTGGCATAAACGAAAATAGAGGGGGGGGGGGGGGGGGGGAGAGAACAGGGGGGGGGGGGGGGGGGGGGGAGAACAAAAACAAAAAAAAAAAAAAAAAAAATAAATTGCATTTGTAGGAAAATAACAAATATTAACTTTTTTAAAGTACTTGCAGATTGTGAGGCTTTGAGTTATAGCACAGTTAGCCTGTCTATAGATCCTATGTATAAATAAAGCACCGATAAGGTTCCAGTGTATTTCTCGGAGGGACTCTCTGAATACTGTCAAAAAAAACAACAACAACACAGACAGCGATTGTGATAGCAATCCGTCTGCTGCAGAAATCAAAGTATAGTACTTGACGTCGTCAAACTGTTAAACGCATTCATTAATCTCTATAGCGCAGATATAATTCTGCATACAACCAGATCTGAGAAGTTGCAAAATAGTCTGCAAGCAACAGTTATATTTGGAGGTCTATTTACAACAAGTCAATATTTTTTTTATAATAACCGGCAAAGTAAAACTATCTACATTTATCTAGATATAATCATAATTTATTAGTATTATAATATTTCCTGTAAACTCTATCTTGTACCTGTCTTTTTTTCCAGCGATTATTTAAAGCTTCACAATAACCGGTAGCTATAAATTTACATGCCTCTACTTATAAACATTACAAAATGTATTATAATTCCGTCATTCCTTTAAGAATGATTGGCAGTTAGGAAGCGACATCATGGTACACCGGATATACCCACAGATGTTTCGTCTGAATAATAAATCCCAAAACAAAACATTATCAATAAATTTACTCTAATACACTTTAAATGTTTAACTCCTTCCCTCCCAAAATGTTGTCACTTGATCTCCTCCTGACACAAGAAGTTGACATTAAAACAAATATTGTTAGTTCTGAAGAAGTTCAGCAGGGACACTGTGAGACAAAAGAGCCAAACTAAGATGTGAGATACAAAGTAAAGTATCAATGTCCACACCTTCAGACTTACTGGTCATCTATGGCTAAACC